CATTTGTGAGATTCTTGTAATAGTGCTTGGCCATGGGTTAGTGTTCTGATAACAATTTTTTAATCTTTAAAGGTCAGTTGGCCAGCATGCCTTCTATTGCCTATGGAAGAAAAAAGTGTGTCCTTGAGGGTAAGTAGTCAGAGAGAATCAAAGAGAGAGTGTTCGATTAGACTTTGATCTAAATGATTTAGAGTCGGAGTGGTAAAAGAGAAGAGCGAAATTAATTTTGTGTAAGGGTGATTGTAATAGATAGATAAAAGGGGAGATCAGAAGAACATGTCGAGAGTCCTTGTTGCATTTCGCTAAGCGTGGCGCACTCAACAGATTTACGCCTTGCGTGGCCTATGACCCTCTTCACTTTGTAGTTTTCTATAATCGTCAGGAGACTCTCCACTGAGCTTGTGTTTCCCCATGGGTGTGTTCATAAAAACCAGACCTCAACTGTTGAAGAGAAAGAGCTCGCATTGTCCGCATGATCCGCACCATGGTTTTGTCTTTCACTCGATGACGATGTTGAAAACGAGGATGATGAAGATGATGATCATAACGACGCTGATGATAAATTCAGTTTGCAAATGATATAAATAGAGATAGATGGATAGAGTTTTGTACCGCTTTCTTGGAAACAATTCAATACAGCCGAATAACTTTTGAATTAAAACAATAGGAAAATCAATGTGGTACAATATATTCAATACGACGCAAAAAACTCACCTTGGAATAAAGCAACGAGCTCTAAGTATTCGAAGCGTTTGTGCTCCAGGTATTGTTCCAGGTTGTGAACAAGTGAAAATGACCTTGTGTCGCCAAGATTACCCAGCAACATCTTGCGCGCCTATTGAGAAAATGAACTGGTTCCAGATTGCGCGCCTACTTTGATCAAATCGAGATTTTTCCCCCAATACACCGAATTCATACTTGCAATCATAAACGCGGGAAATTCTATATAATACCTCCTCGGCAGTTTCGGCTTAGGGAAGAAAAACATCCTATACATACCCGCGGCGTCTCTATGAAAACAGAATATCAGAGACCTCAACTGGCAGACTCACTC